TGGTAGGAGACAGGCTTGCTCTTCTGCCTCAGCACCAAGCACTGAGCCACAGGGCTCAGGCCACGTGGACGGGGCAAGTCTGAGCAGCTCATGGATCTGTTCAGACAGAAAGAGGCTGCTGTCCCCTCGGTATCTAGAATCGTGATTCAATCATCATCAAGCCAGTTCTCCACCATGACGTACGTCTGTCATCTTCCCGCCCTCCCATTCTTTCTGCGTCCTGGTCCTGCTGGCCGCTGGCCTGGGATATGGTGTCTTTCTTGACCTCTACCTTCTCTGCCTCCTGCTAAGCGTCCCGAGAAACCCCAGGTCTCCAGGTAGGAAGTGTAGCACGCGCTCCTGCTAAGTGTCCCGAGAAACCCCGGGTCTCCAGGTAGGGAGTGTGGCACATGGTCAGGGGCGCAGCTTGGGGAATGTGCGGCTGGCTGCCCAGCACAGCGTCGTTGCAGGGCAGTGTGTGCGCTCTTAGGCTCGGCGCTTGGCGCAGCCCGGGTGACGGCTTCACTGTAACCACAGAGGAACTTAGTGCAGGAAGTGCCCCAGCTGTTGTTTATTAGCATTAGAACGAAATTACACAAAGCAAATTGTTAGCAGACATGTGGCCATAATCTTTAACTGGTGGCGGTAAATAAGAGTGATCCTCTTTCAAGTAAATACGAGATTTCCAAAAAAACCCAGCTTCCAATTGTCCGTGAAGGAATCACGTTGGATGAGGCTAAGCCTTGGAGGGAAGGACATGGAGGGGCTGAGGCTCCAGCATCCGTGCCCTGGAGTCGGGCTGTTGGACAGCTGCCGTTAGCTTGGCAATATGGAAGCAGGCACGTTTGTGCCTCTGGACATCTGACCATCTGCTGGGTTTCCCTCAGGGGTTTTCAGTCTGGTCCTCTCATGGAACTAAGAGTAAAGTCACATGGCCACACAGCAGGAAAGCGTGTGTGTGTGTGTGTGTGTGTGTGTGTGTGTGTGTGTGTGTGTGTGTGTCATCTCAGTGTGTTCATGTTAAAAAAAAAAAGCACAGTTGGATTTTTTTGTCACCCTTCTTCTTAACAAGATGTGGCAATTAAAAAGAAAAAAGCTACTCCTTCACAGCCCATGTCTTTAGCTGTGGTTTAAAGAGTGTGAGCCTGGCCCCACCGTGGGCACACATCCCATAGCTTATGCGTAGGAACACCTCTCCGTTCCTCAGGAAGAGATCAGAAAGCCCGTCAAGACTTTCTGATGATGATGATGTTCAAATAGAACATCGGTTGTTTCCAATTTTCTTCAAAGAGTCAACAAAACCCTCCTAAGAGAATCTAAAAAACTTTCTTTTTTTAATTTAAAGTTTTAATGTTAGGAAGTATTCTGTGATGGCACCGAGATGTGAAACTAGGTTATGGCCGTGTCATGGGCCAAGACACAACTGCTCTTTTATTGTCTTCCTATGAAACGTATGCGTTTGCATGTTCTGGTTGCTTCTGAAACTCTCAGCCCAGCATCCCTTCCCAAGTTACTAATTTTTAACTCGGTTTTGGTCTTTCCGAGGCGTTTTCTGCCCCTTTATTTCTACTGAAAGGGAAACACCACTGACGAAACCGTTGAAGAGAAATAGCAGGTCCACGTCCTCCTTGGTAGACACGACCGGACCCTTGGTCAGCAGTTCTCTCTGCCTGGGGCTCCCCAGGGTGCCCTTCCCTCAGGCATCCCGCCCGGTCCCCGGGTTTGACATGTCAAGTCAGCCGCGTGAGAGGAACAAGTCCAGAAGCCAGAATTGTTCTGGTCATCTAGCTGTCCACAGGCCAGGCCCGCGACAGTAGGAGGGAACACCTTCTATAACAGCAGTAGGATTAAACTGGCTTTGCCTCCACATTACAAAGCCGGAAAGATGCTTAAAAACATGGTTTACTCCCAACCACTTCCTCCCATATTCCAGCTCCAGTATCAGGAGATACATACACACACCCAAACACACACCCACACACACATATACACATACACACACACACACACACACACACACACACATACACACATACACACACACACACACACCCAAACACACACACACACACATACACACACACACACACACACACACACACCACATCTTTTATCTAAAACCTTCACAAAGGGAATAATGTGTTTCATAAAACATTTAAGATGCTTTAGGCAACAGAATTATGTCTTGATTTTTTTTCCGAGTGTTTAACAGACAAATGTAATTGGAAATGTTTGGAGCACGAGCACACACACTCTTTAATTTGGAATTATGCAAAATTTGATCATTATTCACTACAACCTGAAGCAAAGCTACGCAGACGGAATAGCAAATGTCTTATCTGCCAAATGTGAGTTCAAGTCCTTCTCATCTGGACCAGAGTAACCCCTGTAGCCTGACCTTTCAGGTCTGTTTAGAGGAAATGGCCTGGCATGTTTTACATTTGAGAAGCTATTTAGCTGCCCTGTTTGACAAGGGTTTTGAGAGGGATGGAAATTAATTATAATTGCAGCATTGCTACAATGATTTGGTCAGCTAATTAGATTCCATGCAAAACAGGCAAGAAGAATTGGTTCCACTGGTTATTCCGTGGCGTGGCAGCCTTCATGCCAAGAAGAACGAAACTGCTTCTCGGTTTCTTCATTTTTAAAACTTTGGCCAAACCTTAAATGTCTGGGAATCTGCAATCAAACTAATTTAAGGCTTTGTGTGAAATAAGACAGCACCTGACCGAGAGGTGTCGTGTGGGGACACAGCTCCAGGCCCCCCATAGACTTGAACCAGGTCCTAGCTCTCCTTCAAAGACTCCTTGAGGCTGGCTTCTCTGACTTGTTTGGGCATATTTTAACTTGGGGACACCAGGGAGGCACAGATAAGGTCAGGCAGGACATTTGGAAAGCTTAATCCTGCAAGTCACTAAGAAGTCTGTGTCCCTGGAAGAGGTACCATGAGTCTACAGAGAGAGGGCACCCACAGCTGAGGGGAGCAATGTTTCCAGCTGTCACTGCATCCACACCAGCAGCTGGTTCTGTCTCTATGAACTGTCTGGCGCTCTTTGAGACAAGGCTCTAACTCAGAGCGGTGGCGAGCACCTGGCCCTAACAAGCTGTCGCAAGGCAGAGTCTGCTCACTGCTTCTAACTTCTTAAAGATTCTCCCCAAGGTCTGATTCAAGGTCATTTTGTTGCATGCTAAAAATACCAGACATCCAGCTCATCTGAAACTGATCAAGTTCCCTGTGGTGGGAAGCTTTGGGACATTCTTCCCCTTCTCTGTCATATTTCAAGTCCAACCACCGGTGTTCATTAACAGAGATCCTGCGGGTGTCAGGTCACACTTTCTCCAACAGGGGACATCAAAGTGGGCCCTGTAGCACACCATGGAATAGTTCCTGTGGACTTCGCCTAAATTCTAGCTGATCTGTACAGTAGGTAGCTCCATCCAAGAAGCTACCCTTACCTCATTCTGGAGCAGGACATCTGGCTGAGAGCTGAGGGGTCAACACCCCTCTGGCTCCACATGCCAGCTGTGACCTTGCTCAGGCTGCAGCCTAAGCGGAGACACCTTTCCTAATTCACGCTGTGGCCATGGGAAACCCTATGTTACTCTTGATCCTCACCTTCCCCAGACGCGCCTTTAAGAAAAAAGATGTGCCCAGAGTTCTCTAAGAGTCTTTATAAACAGAGGGAAAGAAAGGACTTGACCACGGACAGCAGAAAGAGGTCACCCTTCTGCCCGGTAAACCGCGGCTCCGTCCCTCGCTAGACACAGCTGCAAAGGGAAGAAAATCAATTTTTTTCTTATTACTTCACAGTGAAGAGTAAAAACCTATTTGTAAATTGAATTAAACCCAATAAAAACACATCTGTGTATTTGTCGAGGACTAGAAAAATTAGCCACAGCCACAGCCACAGAATGCGGCCACATAACTCAAAATCAGCACTCCCATTCCACGCTTTGTTGAGACAGTTTTTCTTCCCTTCTTTTTCTTCAAGAAACGCACATCGATAAATGTCACCAAGATCCTTCAGCATGCCAGCATCTCAGCCCTCAGCAAGAGTCTGGGAGGGAAGGGACTCCAAATCTTTGTTTAGGCAGACAGTTGTGTCCAGATTCTTCCCTCCCCAGTCAGTCAGCAGTGAATCTGGAACCCTCCAGATCACAATTTCTTCTCAAGTGGCAATCTGGGATGCTGACTGTGGCATTAATCCCCTGTCCCAGTCCAGACCAGATCTTGCTCATAGAAGCCCTAACGCAGCCATGAGGTCTGAATGAGCAGACCACGGCAGTCAGCATCCTGAATTCTCATTAGCAGTGCAGTCTGCCCTCTGGTGGAGCAATGAAGGACTGCAGGAGCTAGAAAACATCTTTCCCTCACTGTTCTTTGAGGGAGCCAAAAAACTTGAAGTTTTCAGACAGCGCAAGGCGAGGCAAGTCATCCTCGGGAGAAAGTCACCCCAGAGCTGACTCCAGTGAGGCTCAGGCTGATAGGTCCCCAGAACAGGGGAGGCTGCTTTTGCTGTGGGCGACCCCACACCACCACCAAGGACAAGGTCCTTCTCAACTTTGAAAGCCCCTTCCAGGGCTCTCCTCGGGTGGCAGTGTTCAGTTATCCACTCTGTCATGACATAAATAGCACCCATAAAGAGTGACCAGCATGTGAGGAACATTAAATGTAACAGGCCTTTTGTGATTTTTCTGACAATCAATGAACGCAGTCGAGCCTCTGAAAGGGGCCATTTGGAATGTTAGAAACGGCAAAGATGCACATTTTGCAAAAAGACAAAGTCTTTGTGGCCGTCACTTGTAAGAAGACAATCTACTTGTGATGCTGGCTGGGTGCTGGCCAGGCAGAAGACGGTCTTGAGGTCTGGGGCTTTGCTTCCGACTCTACCCACTTCAGAACTTGGCTTGCTTCAGCTTGTCAATGTGGTAGCAGAGTTTCAGTGCGGGTCCCAGCTTCAGTCCCAGGTATTTCATGATCATGTCACTCCTCAGCAACAGCAAGGCATTGCCATCAATCTCCTGGTGGGAAGGGGTCGGGAAGAGAAACCTCAGGAGACAGTCAGAGGAGCCGGACGGCAGCTCCGGTCAAGGTGAGCTAACCGGGCGGTCTAAGGGCGGGTGATTCGATTAGAGACCGCGTGCTATTGGTTCTGGGAGAGCTCTTGGGGACAATTCAAGCAAGCAAACAAGATGTCCTCCCTGAAGTCGTTCACCTTGTACCTTTCAGATTCCCGACCTTTCCTGATTGAAGGACTCAGAAAGAACGTCACCCCCAGTCCCGCCCATGTATGATATCTGTCATTCAACTAAACCAATCCACAGACCGGTCAGCCCGAGGGGACCCTGACTGATGCTCCTGGCTCTAAAGAGGACCATGAAGCTGGGAAAGGCAAGCACGTTGCCCCTAAAATAAGAATGTATTCCTGAAAACACCTGGATCTTAGCCTATGGAGACTCTGGCCAGGCTCCTGCCTGACCACAGAAATAAAGACAAGCAATGTCCATTGTCTCAAGGCCCTGGATTTGTAAAATTTCTTATATCAGCAATCCAGAATTAATATAGTGAGCTGAGCAAGTAACCTAATAATTCTTATCTTTCTCCCTACTTATCATCTCCTTACTTATATATTTCAGAAGTAGCTAAATGATTATAACATTTACATGAAGGCTGTATGAGTGAGGCCTCATGTAATGCATTTATGTGTATTTTCTCATTTAACCATCTAAGCCAGTGGTTCTCAACCTTTGGGGTCGAATGACCTTTTCACAGGGGTTGCCTAACACCTTTGAAAAACACAGATATTTACATTATGATTCATAACAGTAGCAAAATTACAGTTATGAGTTAGCAACGAAATAATTTTATGGTTGGGTTCACAACTGTATTAAAGGGTCGCAGCAGTAGGAAGGTTGAGAAACCACTGCTCTAAACAGCAGGCACAGGCTGGACCACAGTTTGCCTGGCATATGTAGGTGTGCTGTAAATGACTATTGGATGCATACAGGTTGGGCAGGTGGATGGATGGATGGATGGATGGATAGATGGATGGATGGATGGATGGATGGATGGGTGGGTGGATGGATGGGTGGATGGATGGGTGGATAGATGGATGGATGAATGGGTGGGTGGATGGATGAATGGGTGGGTGGATGGATGAAGGGGTGGATGGGTGGATGGGTGGGTGGATGGATGGATGGATAGATGGATGGATGGATGGATGGGTGGGTGGATGGATGGATAGATGGATGAATGGGTAGGTAGATGGATGGATGGATGGATGGATGGATGGATGGATGGATGGATGGATGGATGGACAGATGGATGAATGGATGGATGGATGTGCAGAAAAGCAGTCAAGGCCCAAGAGAGAGAATAGAAGAGAAAAATATGACTTAAAAACACAAAACTGTTGGTCACTCTGCTCTGATAGGCCTACGGTTGCCTCCATCTCTCTCATCTCTGGCTCACTCAAGACTGACAGGTAGGGCTTAGTCTAGATCACAAGCATTTGGGGGATCCTGAACTCCTCTCTCACCCCATGCACCCCAATCCCTGGCCCTCCCTCCAGACCCACTCCTTGCATACATGCTTTCTGAAGAGCTCCACATGAGGCCCCAGAGCCTGAGGGTCAGCGTCCTTCAGAAACCGAACCACGTCCTCCACGGTCCAGGTCGAAGGGTTTCTGCTGCTCAGTCGCCTGATGTCCGGCACCTCTGGAGAGGGGCTGGAGGCTGGAAGGGAATGAGCAGAGGAGGGACCATGAGCCAATGGAGATCAGCGCCCTCCTGGTACTGCCTTCTCGGGGCACCCACCCCTGGCTGGCCTGGGAGGAGTCCTCTGTGCTCTGAAGTCCACGGTATGGCCAAGCGACTCTGTGGCCGGTGAATTCTGAGCGGCCGCTCAGCGAGGAGCAAGGACATAGAAAGGCGGCAGCTGCTCTGTGCTGTGCTGTCCAGGAAAGGGAGTTTGGGGGAGCTTTTGTCCTCAACAAACAGAAGTCCTGGTGCAGCTGAAGTTCTCCAGAGCCTCTGCCTGTGGCCCAGGGTCTGCTACAGCCAGCTCTTGGTGGCTGGGGCCGGTAAGCTAAGTAATAATACAATGGGCCTCTGTGGGCTGTGCAGCCAAGTGATACCAGGCCCTTTCTGGGTCCCCTGGAGATGGCAGCTGTGGCAGAACTGAGGTGGTTTACTTTTGGACTTTGCAGAGTGGCTAATTGGCCACTTTCCCCCCAGCAGCTCTGGGAGGGTCTGTCTATACCTGCTCTCAGAGGAAGATGGCGTTACCTCGCTGTTTGTCCTTTGTCCCCAGTACTGGGTTCTTCTGAGTCCTTAGGAGGGTGCCTCTCCCACTGGGCCCTCTCCCCGCCATCCCTGCTGAATCTTTGGGAAACTCAGACTGATATGGTATGGCTAATCTGTATTGTCTGCGTGACTGGATTTAGAATGACCCAGGAGACACACCTCTGGGAAGCATTTCCCGAGAGAAGGGAAGACACACCCTGAATGTGAGTGCCACCACCCAGAGGCTGGGCTCTCAGACTGAACGGGGGAGTGGTGGAGAAAGCCAGTGTGCTGGCTACTTTTATGTGAACTTGATACATGCCAGAATCATTCTGGAAGAAGGAAACTCAATTGAGAAGACGTTCCCACCAGATTGGCTGTAGGCAAGCTGGGTGTCTTGTCTTGACTGATGATTGATGAGGGAGGGCCCAGCTGGCTCACTGTGGGCAGTGCCACCTCTGGGCTGGTGGTCCTGGGTGCTATAAGAAAGCAAGCCGAGCAAGCCAGTAGGCAGCCCTCCTCCATGGCCTCCGTATCAGTTCCTTTCTCCAGGTTCCTGCCTTGAGTCCCTGCCATGATTATCGTGGATGGTGGACTACAAGCTGTGAGAAGAATTCAACCCCTTCCTCCCTGAGCCTCTTTTCCTCATGGTGTTTTGTCATGGCAATAGAATCTCTAGCTAAGACAGCCAGGTAAACGCCAACATTCCCCTTTCTCTGCTCTCTGGTATACCCAGAACTGCCCAAGCTCCACGGTCCCACCTCAAGCAACTTCTGCTTCCATGCCCTGGTCATGTGGGGCTGTAACCCCAAACTGAGCTGACCTAGGCCCCCTGTCCCTTTAGTTGCTTCTTGTCAAGTATTTGTTCACAGGAATGAGAAAAGTAGGAAATATACCTGGACCCCCTGAGACGATTCCCAAGGGTCTCCTTGTTTCTGCTCTTTTCTGTCTAGCATATGACTGCCACTGTCTCAGGCTGTCCCCGAGACCAAGATGTGTCTGTATACATCTGCCACTCAAGGTCCCTCTGAGTCCCCTTGCCTATGTACTATATCTCTAAGTCAATAGGTGTATTGTGATTCCATAGTCCCTTCCTTTCTTAGATGCAGAGGAAGGACTTTGGACTGGGGGACCTAGGGACAAATCCTGGAGCTTCCCTTGCTTGTGACTAGACGACAATTTATCTTAGATCAGGGCTGGTTATGGGTACTGAAGTGGGCAAGAACTGGGCCTTCTGGTCAACCTACGACAAGTGTTCCACAGAGAGAAGGAGGTTCCCTCCGCATCCATCTGGGCACACTGATTATGGCCCGTCTTCCTATTGCTTCCCTGTTTGCCCTCCTCCTTCCCACTGATATCCCATCAACCATCAAAGCCCAGGGATTAGGAACTGGGGAGATGGCTCAGCAGGTAACACATTTGTCATGCAAGCACAAGAACCCCAAAACTGACATAAAAAGAAGATGTATAACAGAGGTGTTGCAATCCCAGAACTCCTAAGAGGAGCTAAGAGGAGCTAAGAGGAAGGGTCAGAAGAGGCCCTGGAAGCCTGTGAGCCAGCCAGCCAGCCTAGTGCACAGAGCAGGAAAGCAGCAAGGAGACCCTGGCTTGAACAAGGTGGAAAGGCAAGGACCCAACACAAGATTGTCTCTGAACCTCCATATGAGTATGATGGTGCACACAGAGTGTCACTCACACACAAATGGACATGTACATGATGTAGTCACATGTTGTATACACATACACACAAATGAGAGAGAGAGAGAGAGAGAGAGAGAGAGAGAGAGAGAGAGAGAGAGAGAGAGAACATGAACACAAGAGGCTGCTAGCCCAGGGACCATCAGACCCCTTCGTGAACACCGTGGCCACATCCTTTGCAGTACCATCACTCACATATTTTTCTGTAGCCTTTAGATTTTACCCCCGAGAATCCTCAATGTTCATTTCACAGTCATGTACCAAGCACTTTCTTCCCTGGCTTGGTCTTGGGAGAAGTGTTTGGTGAACAATACAACCCAAATCCTCTCATTACAGGGGTCATATATTACATTGACCCCTCCGCAGCTGTGCAGACAATAAATATACTCCAAGAGTGGCTTTGACGACCGTGAAATGGATCGATATGTTTTGCAGAAACATGCTAGCTTTATGTGAGTGATCCTTGCTACTGCTTCAAGGCTAGAAAAAGGCCAAGATTCGGAACAAACAGCAGCTTCCCTACAGGAGAATTCTAGGAGCTGAGAAGCCGATGTCCGTGCCCTTCTCTAAGTCTTAAGAGGAAACTGTTTTCTTCCACGCTTCCCCTCCCGCTTTGCTATGCCTGAGAAGTGCCCAGTGCTCCTGCCCCGAGAGAAGCAAGCCGCCACATCTCTGAATCTGTGCCGGTTGAGAACTGGGTTTACTTTGAAATTTTTTTTCCTGACCTTTCCTTGTTGGGCCCGGAATCCCATAAGGTGGTTTGGCACCAAGCATCTTGCTAAGAAACTGTTAATGCTTCTCAGAGCCTTCCAACACTGATGTGCACCAGTGAAAGATGATTTTTGACTCCATTTAAAGACATCTGCACTCAACATGGGGCCGCAGAATCACAGAAACCACATCTGTCTCCAGGACCCGCCCACGGGAGCATGGCTGTTAATCAGGGTGGTAATAGATGTCCTGACTACAAAGACGGGAAGTCTTTAGTCCAAAAATGATTCTGGAGCCAGGAGAGCAGAGGTCAAATCTAATTTCCTATACTTGGCAGGAAGGAGGGGAAGTCTAGCCCACTGATAAGATCCTGCGCAGCGTCCTGAACTCCTCTGAGTGAGGTCAGGGACACTAGTGTGGTCTGTAGCAGAGCAGAGGGCTCCTGGGTTGTCTCGGAGGGGGATGCTCTCAGTGAGGCCTGTAGAGAGAAGACTCAAGACACCGAGGCAAGTGTTCTCCATGCTTGGGACTTGGTGCCAGCTGTGGGCATTTTTCCCTTTTTCAGGATGGTGGATGAGCAGCCAGGCTGGCTCAGGAGCATTTCTGAAGGGTCTTTTAGTCATCCAAGACAGGACAGCAGGTAGCCTAAGTCACACCTCAGGAGTTCCTCCTCCTCCAGAGCACAGAAACTCACTGTGGAGAAGGAAAACGGAACCTGCCAGCAGCAGGCTTGCCCTCACAGAGAAAAATCAACATGCCACCACACCCTGCTCCAGCCTCTGGGAAGGTGTCAGGAAGACAGATGCATCCAGTCCGGCACAACCAGAGCGGGCAGATGGGATAGGTAAGCCATGATGGGCTGAATGAACGGAGCCCTGTGTGGACAACGCATGCAAAGCACTCGCCATCCACACCATTCTCCAGTGCTGGGAAAGCTGTGCTTGGTCATGTCGCTCCCCGTGGGCTGTGGAGATGTGAAAAGTGAGACCCAGTGGTGAAGGGGCACATAATGCAATCTTGTTGCTCCTGAAGCCAAACTCACGGTTAACGGAAAAAACAGACCACCGGCAGACCCAGTGCTGAAAAGCAATCCCTGGCCTCTTCCACAGTGCAGGTACTTGCACCACATCTGCAGAGCTCTTTCTGTCTTATGCGTTCCCACGAGCACACACATAATTGGTTTTTGCTCATTCATAATTCAGCGGAAACTTGAGCGAACAGTGTGGGAGGGTGAAACAAGTGAGTGACAGCCAGGATGAGCCAGGAGCCAGAACTCCCTGCCTCCCACAGCTGGGCACGGCTCCGCAATTCTCCAGAGTACAGGAGAGGGGCGTGGCAGGATCTCCAGGTTCCCTCCAACCCCAGGCCCTGCCTGACCCAGTGGACCACAGGCTGCTGACACTGATGCTCTGAAGGCCTCAGGTGTGTGTCCAAGGCAATGGAGAGTGAGAAGAGCCCTGCCTAGGTGCTCAGTGGACATCTGCCGACCAGAACGCCCCAGTCCCTTAATTACCTGCCATCTTGGGCAGCCAGGATCAAACAGGATAAAGTTGTAAAGGTCAGAGTTAGCCCCAAAGTCAGCCGGGGTTCTTCTACGCCATCCTATAAATGTCCAGTAGATCCAGCCCCTAAGTCCCACCACCAACCAGTCCAACCCTACTCAGAAATACGTGGTTTATAATCGCTATAAGCGAAGCCCATCTGCCTGACAGGACGCCAAAGCATCCAGTGTGATTTCCCGCATCATCGCAGCCCTAACTCTTTCCTCCCCACCACAGTGAGGAAGGCCTTTCTTGCCTCTGCAGATGCCAGGCCTCACATGAGGCAATTCATCCTCATTCTTTTTTTTTTT